CCCCGAAAATGAAGCAGCAATCCAAGGAAAAAGACAATTAAAAAAAAAAGAAAAGGCTTCTGCTCAGTCACTAATAATGTTGTAATAATGTGAATCAATGTAGAAAGAGTTTATAAAAGTTTTGTTGTTAGTATTCATATAATCTAAGACACATTAAGCAATTGACTACTCTCTCTGCCACATAGAATGATTCAAATTGATAACAAGCATTACTAAGGATTTGAAGAGTCTAGTACGACAGAAGGTCAGTGGTTGTGGGGTGGGATGGGGGTGACACCATAAGTTACCCAAGCCTAGAGATGTCACAGACGTAAAACATAGCTCCCTCTTACATATCAGACGCTGCTCATTTTTGAGAAGCATCTCACCCGCTGAGGGGAAATGACTCCTGCGACAACTTCCACCTGCACATTCTAGGCAGAGGGCTGCGTTTCTCAGAGAAACAGCCCTGTGCCTGCCAGTCCCCACCATGCTTGGTGTCAATCAATCCTCCTTCATCACTGTGGTTGCAACTCTGTACATTTCTGGTTGGGGCTGTCAGGAAGGAGACAGGAAATTGGAGTCACTCTCACAGCAGCTGCGCTGTTCCTCCTGTCCCCCTATCCTCCTCCGATGACGTCGGTTGGCTTTGGTGACAGGAGGTCAGGAACTGAGCCACAGCGAAGGTCAGGAAGATAGGTCAGTGTTTATGCCGTTGCTGGGCTGGGGATCCTGCTGAGGTTATTTGCTTTCTTCCTCTCTATACTGTTTCTCTTTCCGTTCCTCTTTTCATAATGCGGAGCCAAAGCATCCTGTTTTCAAAACATCTGACTGTTTTGCCACCGAGAAGCTCAGGTTCGGATGCGTGTCGGTGAGGTGTACGTGAACTCGGAGTCAGGTGATACCAGTTGAAATTGAGGAGCTAGCGGGGAGCACAGCCTGTTGCTGCGTTTTAAGCAAAACAGCTCAAGCACATCAGCCTGCACTGCGGAGGCTGGCCCAAACTCCACTGCCACCCTTTTCATTAGGAAAAGCAATTCCATCGCCTGCTAAAAGTTCTGTAGAATTTATTTCCTCTTGTTATAGTTCTTGGAGGGAAAGAGTCTATGATATTAAACCCCCTGACTACATTTTTCTCTGGAATGCCAAGTGACCTGTGGCTTGCATGAAGGAATCTGGGAAGCTTGAGTTAAGGAGAGGACTATATGTGTTTACAAGTCACAGGACGAGTTTCTATCTAGCACCCTGGTCTCTGAAGTACAGTTGGGAAAAGCTAGTTACAATATTGGAGTCACCTAGTTCTCTGTAACACATAAGAAAGTCAGTAGCAAGCAATACAGACACATAGTTCAGATGAAGCAAGTATGGGGGAAAACAATGCTTGTTTCTTTTCCTCTGCTCGTTACAGCCAACTCTCTACTATTTGCACAAAGATGGGTGCATCACTAGTTCCCAAATGCCACCTGCCAGCCCCCTCCTGCCACAGCCTAACAGGAGCTCTCCCATCTCTCTTAATGAAGTTCAGACATTGCCAACAACACTTGGTAGCTGTTCAACTGCGAAAGAACTCTCACTGTCAAAGTCACCGAGTTGATTCCGACTCATAGTGACCCTACCGGTCAGGGTAGAACTGCCCCTTTGGGTTTCCAAGACTGCATCCCTTGATGGGGGTAAGAAAACAGCATCTTCCTCCCATAGAGCGCCTAGTGGGTTCAAACTGCTGAGCAGCCCCAGCATAACTCATTCCATCACCAGGGCTCCTCGAGAGAGAACTGGGGACACGTATTGCTTACAAAACTGTGGTAGACTTGTCCCAACAAGTTATCACGCAGGGAACACTGGCTACCCAGCAAGTACCTTCCTGAGTGCTTTAGCTGCAGCACCTCTTTAATCTTTACAACACACTGGAAGGTAAGTTCCACACAGAAAACAGTTGATCCTTATTTTCACAATGAAGAAGTTGAGTCCCAAAGAGAGCAAGCAAATTGGCCAGGGCCAATGAGTTAATAAGTAACGGAGTCTGGATTTGAACCATAATATTACTGATCCTCAAGACCATGTTCGGTACATAATCTTTTATAAAAGATCTTTACCCTCACTCCAGGGTCTGTAACTCAGAATTGAGGGAGCTTCCAAAATTTCGTAGAGATTTTCCATTATCTTTTTATTCCATTTTTCCACACACTTTTCAAAGCCCTTTTTAAAAATACTGTGGGTCTTTTGCTCAGTGCCACTAAGGAAGGAATAACCAAATAAGGCGGCACTTTAGTGATGATGAAGATGAAGAAAATAATGAATGTTTTTAAACATCGACTTATTTGGAAAGCACAAATAATTTTGACAATATTTAAAACAATGGATTTTTGCTTTCTGCACAAATAATTCATCCTCCCTAAAAGTGAGTATAAATCCACTTCTTTGTCATGGACACACACACACACACACACACACACACAATCTCACTCATTGTACAGGTTCCTTGAGTCATGGTTTAAGTTACACTATCTTTACATGAAATAATTATCTGAATAACCAAGATATTAGATAAAAAAATAAAAACATAGCTGTGTATATATATATATATATAAAATCACCGTAAGTAAGTTAAGACATTACAAGGCATACACATACACACACGTATGAAGTTGACTTTAGTGGCCATACTTTCATCACTTTGCTCATTCCATTGTGTGTTTAGGCAATAGTGAGGTAGCATGGCTTCCACTTGAGCTAAGTGTGTCAACATTAAGGCCCAGCCCTTTCTTTAGGGTTAGCGCTATTCAACTTTCATTGCTTCCTGCATGCCCTACCAGAGAGGAGGAGCGGAAGGCTGAAGTGGTTGGACTTTTACCAGGACCTACATCAGCTCTGACCACAGAGCCCTATTAGCTACTAGGCTGCATATAAAATTGTTTTTAATGAAATCGCATGACAGGCAGCTTGTAGACAATGTCTACTTTCATCACTCCAGGCACAAACCTGGTTAAACAGCTAAGAGGGCCTCATCCATGCTCTTAACAAAACACAACAGCAAGTCACAATGTCTTAGTGCGTTTTCCTCCTGGAGTGAATTGCCTACTTCACCTTAGTGACTTCCAAAAAGAGTTCGCCATGCCCTCTGTACGAGCTGATGAAAAACCACTTCCAGGTACTGGACCTGCGTCTTGCATGGGCATCCATTGTGCAAAAGCCCTCTCTGCAGATAGAGCTCAGTGTGTTTTAGGAGAAGTTACACAGTCTGTCTCTAGAACTTGGGGAAGCAGTTGCTTGAGTTTACAACAGCCTGGAAATACCCTGAATTGAGCTTTCGATCTAGAGCTTCAAGGAAAGAAAAAGTGGGGGACAAGTGGGTAATTCAATCTTATATGTGTCCTTTCTTCTTTTTATTTTTTTAGCTTAGACTCCCATCCAAAATTTCAGAAATGGATTTGTTTTTGCCCTTTGCATGCTAATTTTGAAAAGAAACCAACGCGTTCTCAAATGAGGCGAGCCCTCTCCATTCAGGAGTCGAAGGATGCAATGCTTCCTCTGCTAGGGTCCTTTGAGCAGGGGCCAGCAAGCCTTCATGGAAGACGATACTGAACACACACGACCGGTCAACTTCAGGCTGGAAAGGGCATGCCAGCAGGTGTGGAGCAAAACTGCTTCCCAGTCCAGAAATATGACACGACAGAACCTCATATTCTTACAAAGGTACAGTGATAACACTTTCCACACACACACACACACACACACACACACACACACACACACACTCCGGGGCTTCAAAAAGTTCCTGGGGAAATGGAATTGAAAGATAATGCCATTTTCATTGTTCTACAAACTTTTAAAAGTCTACTTGTGTGTCTTCGTGTACACACACACAATTTAAAACTCTTCAAGGAAAAAAAACATAAACAAACAACTCTCACTACATAAATTAGCACTCTAGGTCCAGATGTTAATTAAACAAATGATATAATGATAGATAATTGAAGGTCTTCAGCAATACATTTTAGCTGGAGATTGTAAATAAAACCATTTCTTTGCAGGCTGGGTGGAACTTAGTGTCAAATTATTCCACTTTAAAAATCAGCCATCTTTAAAGAAAAACAAAATTTTCTTTGCAGGACAAGATGTGATTGCTAGTTTTGGTCACAGGTCATGTAAGTATCACAAAAGAAATTTTAGAATATCCCATAAAGTCCTTTACAGAAAGACTTGATCAGTCTTCAGAACCGTTCCCTTGGCCAGTGGCAGATGAAAGTCACACGCATTATTTTGGTTCCAAAGCATCTATACAACACCTGGTTGCAATAAAACATGTTCTAAAATGCATGCCTATTCATTTGTATTTTAGCTTCCTGGCCATTATTATTTTAAGGCAATGCCTTTGGTGTAGTGCCTCCCAAGCATCCACTTTAAACCTATCCCAAATTTATATCATTTAAAATAAAGTCTGGTCACTCTGAATGAAAGCTTGTGTGGATTTTCAACTTTTGCCATAACCTCAAGAGACAAGCACGGCGTGGCCCGTTAGACCAGAATATTCGGATCCAAGTCAGCCACCATGTCCCTAAAGTCAGGGTCCCCAGTGCAGGCAGGGAGAGGAGCCCGGAGCACCGGAGCGTCCCACCTTCAGGAGCCCAAGGGTCCTGGCTTACCTTGTTAGAAGCCATCTCACTGACGGAGCGGTAGGTCTGTATGGTCTCTAGCTGGTCTAGACACCAGTCCAGTTCCTCCAGCGTCTCCATGGCTAGTTTTTGATAAGATTCTTCTGCAAACAAACACACAGACAAGTAGTTAGGCTGCAGCGGCTGCACGCTGTCCATCGCCGGGTCACCGCTGCCACCGCCGATCCGCGCGCCACTGAAGGTGCCACTGAGCTCCTTCATTATTTGCTCGGCCGGCTCCTTCCTGCCTGCGCTCTCCGCCCGCCCGGGGAGCGAGTCACCGTGGCGCCGTGCCCGCGCGGCCGCGTGCCAACTCGTCACCGCTCCTGCGGGCCGGCGGCCTGCCGGGATGAGGTGTCAGTGATCTCCCGGGAAACTTCCTGGGAGGAGGCGGGCGGGCGGGCTCCCCGCAGCTCATCTGCATACGGGAGCCAGTGGCCCCCGAGAGGCCCTCGCCCCCTGAGTCATCCCGGGGCGCTTTGGGGTGCGTGATGTCATTTGGGGGGGGGAAAGCGTGCGCTCGTTTTGCAAACACGCGGCAGAAAACCTGGGGGGCGGGGAGGCGAGGACGCGGGGGATGGCGGGGTGGTGGGAGAGGATGTGTGGCCATTCGTTTGTTCACGCGGGGGTCACTTCATGCGTGGGAGACTGACCGGCCAAGAGCGAGACACGGCGCGGGTCCCTCCCCTCCCCGCGGTTCCCTCCTTTCCGCGCGGATCTCGGTGGGCCGGGCTTTCAGAGAAACCGCCAGGGGTTTTACTTGGACACATGCAGTGGCCCTGGGGCTGAGCTCTTGTCACGCTGAACAAAGCGCAAACTTCAGGGTTGCTGAGAAATTCTGAACCGGACTTTCAGGTGGAGCCCGATGCGGAGCTGCGGAGTCCCCTGTGGATCTAAGCCCGGGGCGCTGGTTTGTCACTTGGCCCAGGAATCTAGACTTACTGGAACGATTTCTCGGTGGTCCATAGAAAAGATAGATATGTTCAATTCGAATTGAAAAAATATTTATAGAGAGACATAGAGTCTTCAAGACCATAGTTTCGCTGGAAAATGGAAACTGTGTACATGTCCACAAAATGCCATCCCCTCGGCAAACGTTTGGGGGTCTGAGCTGGAAACAACCCTTCAGGTTATTGATTTAAGAACCCAAGGACAATAAACATCGGATTGATCCTTAGAAGTGGCAAATGAATCAGTCATGCTGCAGAGGGCTGGCAAGAAGTCATTGGCCTCTTCCTCTCATACACTTGTTTGCAAAGGGGGAGCAGTCCGTGAACTTCCCTTGGCTTTCTGGAACACAGCACAAACCCAAATTAAAAATCATGCCCCGAGCTTGAGCAGAAAGCAAAGGCCCCCTTTATCCCTGTTGGATTTAGATGCGGTTTTTAAAATGCATTGTACAGACCACCTCACTTTTCATTATTCTATGAATAATTGTATGAGTGTGGCAACCTGATTCCCAAAGCAGAAAAGGGAATAAACAGAAGGGCCATTCCGAGAGACTGGGATCCCTTGGCTACAGACGCACCTTTCAAAGAATAGGTGCTTTGTTTTCTTCCAAAGAAGCCAACACTTCAAGGTAAACAGGGGTTAAAATGCAATATCCTGTACGTCATACTTAAAAAGCCACAAAACCACTAGAGGCGACTTCCTCCATTTTTTCACACTCCTCAGAAAATGTGCAACAAGAATTGAAGTGTTATTAGCAAAACTCTTTTCAAGCCAGGCTTACACATACCTTTTCTCTTTTCTTCCTTCTCGGTTTTGCGATGCTGCCTCATCAGGGAGATGCTCCTTCCTTGCTTTCTAGCGCTTCAGACACCCCCTGCCTCCTGCTTCCTTCCAAATTGAGCCTTCTTCCAAGGAAGTCTTTTCTGAAGTGACTTTTCAGAACCCTTCCAGCCCCATTGCCTGCCTTCATAAAAGAAAAAGTTCAACCACTTCCTAGCTACTCAGGTTTTACTGCCTGGGTGTCTTCCACTTCACAACCTGTGTCACTAAGGTCAGGCAGCCACCAGGACGGCGGGGAGTAAGACAACTCACTCAGCGCCTTTGGATTTGGCTGATGTGCAAAACAACCACCAGATGATAGGTCACATTTCTCCTTCGTAAAAAGGAAAAAGGCGATCCGATTTCCACTCCGGCCTGCCAAAGGAAATACGGTCATTCTCAATGCAGAGGCACTAAAGAAGGCCTCCTCCAGGAGGTATCAATTCGGTGTTTCCAGCAGACCACGTTCGTTCATTGTCTGTATTACACAGCACAGGCACACGTGTCCTTTATACTCGGCACAAGAGTGAGGCACTGACATCTGGCCCATGCATATGAGTGATAGGATCTCACACCATTGCCCGCTCTTATTCTGTTCAAACACAACTTTTTTCTTAAGTGGAAATTATTACATTTTAAAATTATGAGGATTTGTCACTTTCCAAATTCTCAACCATCACTCAAGCCTTCCTTTGCATCCTATAGCACACGAACTTACAGATCTATCCTGTCACAGTCTTATCACTGTAACTTGGTGAAGAGGGGAGTAGGGGGGCATCTGAGTGGGCAAAAATAGGGGGGCCACCAAACATGGGTCATGTACGGGAGGCATGAGTCCAGTCAAGCTATCCAGGGCAGCTCAGGACTGGCCTCCACGTGGCAGCATCTGAGCTTGAGCACCAGATCCAGGGCTTGGGATAGAGTTGCAGTAAACCAATGCCAGAGAGTCACCTCTTAGTCATGGGGACCTGATGGGTATCTGAGAGCAACAATGCTCCTCCAGTTTCCCGTGGGTGGGCTTCCGGTTGATAACCAGGCGGCCCTTCTTCTGCAGCACCTCTAGGTGAACTGGCACCTCAGATCCCCTGGTTTGCAACCAAGCACGTTAACTCTTTTCCCATGCAGGGACTCTTAGTCCCTCTTAGTGTGCAGTAGTCATGGTTAGCTGTGGAGTCGGTGCTGCCACATAGTGACCCTCTATGCAACAGAACAAAACACCACCTGGTCCTCTGCCACGTGCAGCCCTCACAATTGTTTTTAGGTTGGCGTCCACTGTTGCAGTCAGTCTACCTTGTCAAGCCTTTCTCTTTGTCCCTGCCCCTAGCGACTCAGTAAACCCCTGAAGGTGTGAAAACTGGAGAGCCTACCCCAGCAGGCTACACACACTTGGGCACTTACAGGGTGAATGGCACAATTATAGGGCTGTTGCGAGAGGCCTAGCTTTGGAGTGAGATGAGGGTATTTTAACTTTGGTTCTAGCACTCCCCAAACCTCAATTTCCTGTATCTGTAAAATAAGGTTAAGAATATTCACTTCACATGGTTGTAAAGGGATTCAATGAGGCAAAGCATATACAGTGCCTGCTGCGCTAGCCAGGTTTCAGGAAGTGATCAATGCTCAAGAGAATTATTAATGACCATCAAAGTAAAACAAATTCCTGGCATTTGGGGCTACGGGGAAGACTAGAATAGAGAATAGGAAGGGATGTAACAGAACTGCTTATTCAAGAAAGGATTTTATAGTCAGAACCAACTACCTAAGTTGTAGGGCCCAGTGCAAAATGAAAGTGCAGCGCCCCTTGTTTAAACAGACACGCACGCACGCACACACGCACGCACGCTTTCTTCTGCGTTCCCGCTGTCAACCTGCCGCGGTGTTTTTGGGTTTTGTTGAGTTTTTTGTTTTAGGTTTTTAGAAATTTTGCAAAAATAACAGAGTTCTTGAATACCTTACATTCAAGTCCCTCTATTGTTAACATCATACATTGAGTTTGATGCTATTCATATGTTGGTCACAATGAATGAATGGCATGGTGTTTTTCAGATTCCATCTAATATTTTGATCTATCAGGTATGGGGAAATTGGTGGGGCAAATATAGACCCTCCTAGGAACTGGGGGACTTACTTCATGATCTGAAGAATGTATGCAATTTACCAGCTTTGGGGTTCCTACTAGACGGATATGTTGTGGCCCAGCTGGGGGTGGATCCTGGGGAATCTACACCAGACACTTCCGCTTCCCATAGACCCACTCTTTCAAATCCACAATGGGCAAGTGACCCTTAAAAGTACTGTAAACTCCATGCTGGGGTGTGCTAGCTACCTAGTTCAGTAATGGATGAGTGGCGTGTCCCAGGGCAAGATATGACCTCCACCAGTCACCTTTCGACATTGCAAGTCTGGGGTGGGGCCGGTTGCTACTGGTTGCTACCTTGCTCTATCAAGATGTTGCAAGGTATGCATGCTCAACCTGGACCCTCCCTAAACCTGCACCCGGGCTCCTGCTAGTGGACAGAGTGGCAGTGGTCACAGGGCAGGGAAAGAGAGAAAAGGGCTGGACCACTACTGGGGTGCCAGGAACAATGGAGCAGGTGGTCAATGACCCATCTAGGGAAAAGACAGGCGTTGTGAGGGCACACAAGCCACGCCTCTAAGACACCAGTGTGTACTCCAGTGTTCTATCAGACTTCACTTACAAAACAGAAATTCAAACATAACATCATGCAGCAGATCAACATAGAGGCAATAGAGCATGAAAGCCCAAGCATTGAGCCCGGGGGCTGTGAACCACACAGGTTGCACAGCCATGAAGCCAGCTCTATTTCCTGTCTTACAAACGAGCACCCAGAAGGAAGCATGCCGAACATCAAAGAAGCAAGTCTCAGAGCAGGTAAGAGCAGGGAATGTGGCCATGTATGTGTTCGCTGCCCATCATAGTTGTCAAATTTTCCCTAGAGGCGACAGAGCAGGGAGAACTAGCCTCTCTTCTTTTCCTTCTAAGAAGAAAAAAAAAGAAAGATTTTTCTGTCTTCTACAAGCCTAGTGAGTATTGCACTCCACTTCAGAAATAGAAATAAAAGAGGAGAGAAGGGATTGATATGCATAGTTAATATTCATCTGGTAACAATACCTGGCATTCAAATAGCCCTTTTCTCAAAGGAGCTCCAAACACACTATTCTTCTGTCTTTGCAACATCTTTCTGGGGTGGGCTCTGAAGAGATGCTGTCTCTAAATCATCTAGAGGCTGAAGCTGAGAACTCAGAGGTTAAATGACTAGAACAAATCAGAGCTGTCAGATGCCTCTGGCAGGGCCGATAAAATCAGGACTTCATC